GCTACTGCCTCTCTGCTTTCCCGAGCGGAAAAAAAAAAAAGGAAAAAAAAAACACCTTCACCTCCTCCTCGGTCTCCTTCAGCAGAGCCATCACTTCTCTGAAGAGCATGCAAATCAGTTTTTTCTCTCGTTTCCAGTTATTATTGTTTCTTTGAAAAGACTATTAACTTCCGCCACTCTTATCACATATTTGGTCGATATATGCTTTGAGTGTTTTTTTTTTTTTTTTCATGTTGCTTGTTTTATGGAGGGTCACTCTCTTGGCATGTTCGATAAACAGACAGGTGTTCGGCACATCACTCCTGTGTGTTTGGACTGGAATAAGAATAACGTTCAGGTAGGCCAATTTCTTATTTATTATGAGAGGCGTCTATGTTCATTCAGGCCTAAATATTTTCTAACTGTCTTATCAGAAAAAATAAAACTAAAAATAAATAAATAAAACACGGAATTAGTCATTTACGATTTTAAAACGTGCTGTATAAAGGCCCCATGTAAAAATTATTTTTAAAAAACAGTTTATTTTTGCACAAAATGGTGTTTTGGAAAATGTCTGTATAAAGCTGTTGCTCAAATTTCTTTTATTGTCAAACTTATTTCTTGATCTTGCCTAATAAGATGCATAATTTACGGATCGATTTAGTTATATTTATTACTTTCAGTTTTCGTTTGACATTTTATTTAATTTAAAAGTAAAAGGCTTCACACATTTTTCAAAACATCATAAAATAATAGGATTATGTAAATCGCTAATGGTCGATTTTATAGAATTTAATTAGGAAATTTGCAGTGCGGATTTGGAAGACGCACCAAAAAAGGTTTTACATTTTTCTCAACGCTGACAACATTTCCTGTCCTCGTCTGTGAGACAATTCACCTGGGTCTAAAAAGGATGAAGTCTAAAACAATTTGAAAAATTAATTTCTTCTCATTTGAGACTGGTTTTCCTGCGCGGAATGGCCCCGGGGAGGTGCTGGCTGCGTGCTGTCATGGCTGCTGTAACCCTGGAGTGAAGACGCAAAATGACAGGAGGTGTTTATTTTTTTTTTTAAAGCGCGAGTCATTTTTTGAAAATAAGTCTAGCAAAAATAAAATATGTGACATTTTTTGCAAGAGTCAGCAGAAACGACAAAGACATGTTACATCAGTTATTAGAGTTATCTAATGAGCATAATGTTAATGCATTTAATAAATTCTTCATCACTTTCTCCCATTTTGTATTTAAATGTGAAGTCTGAATAGATCCTCTGTAACATTTTAAAAATCGATGATTTTCATCGTTTATTTTCAGCTGCAAAGATAAATATTAAAATTCTATTTTGTTACAACAAAGCATTGCTAAATTTGTCTTTTAAATTTTTCAATTAATCTGCGAAATGCTCTCTCAGATGGTTTTTGCGGCGGCGGATATGCTGAGAACAGCGGGAATTCTGCAGCCAACCYAACAGAATTACATGAATGAAACGTCTGACTTAAAAAAAAACAGCTTAAAGAACAGAAAGAAAAAATCAGCGCTCTTCTAACAGTCATGACGTCACTTTATCTCTTTAYTGGAGACTCCGTATCTTTGATTGATTGAGAACAGAGCAAAGGGAACTTTTCTGTACAAATAATCTCAGCACATGTGAACAGGGCCACCTTAACCTGCTGGGCCCYGGGGGGCTAAAAGGTCTCATAGGCCCTCCCCCAACCTTTACACACCACCACCACCACCAGTTTTCAGGAGGTTTGTTATAGGGTATTTGACAACAATACAAAAATTGTGAATTATCTTCTGGTATGTGTCCATTTCCTTTTTTTTTTTTTAACAATGATATTACTACTGAGATAAGCATCCCCCCCCACCCCCCATACACACACAGGTGGCTCCCTGGTCTCCCCCAGGTGGGTGAATCAGAGAGCAACTTGTGGGTTCGTCTTCACGGCAGCGGATTTAAAAATATTCTGTTGTTTTGGTGAGCTCTCCAGTGTTTTTTATTTATTTATTTATTTATTTATTTATTTATTTATTTATTTATTTTTTGCTCAATTAAACCTTTTTCCCGACATGTTGACAACTGTCATTCTGTCATCGAGGGACACGCCCCAAAATTAGCAATGCGCATTCTGACTGGTGAACATTCAGTCCATGTGAGTCTCTTTTTATTTGGRTCAATCAACGACCACAAACATGCACTGAAAGAGATTAACCTGCAAAGGCAAATAAATTTAAAAAAAAATCCAGCTCATCAGGTGACCTCCGAATGACAGACCCCTCAGTGCTTTGGACCCCTGTGCTTCAGCTCATGAGCCACAGCTGAGACAACGTGTTGCTTTTTCAGACTTGTAAATTTTCTAATGTTATGCTTGATTAAAGGCTGGAGAGCATGTGTCTCAGGCCCTGCACCTTTGCCACATTTTTCCTCCCTCAGTCACATGGGTTACTGACGCTGTTAAGTAACTGTGGCCTCAGAATTTAAAAATCAAACTAATGAGGATGTTTCAGCCTGCAGAATGTGATCAAATGCAGGAAACTGAAGAATAAAAGTGGAGGCGACTTCTCCCCACCTGATTCAGTTGACCTGCTGTGAGTTTAGATCTCTCTCTCTTTAGTTTTGATAAAGCTTCATTCAGTGTTTGAGCTGTGAGTATCAGAACAGAAGGCTTTGTTTAGGAAGAAGGCAGGAGGACGGAGGGGAGGCTCAGACTGCAGGAGGAGATGCTTCCCCTCGGAATGAGATGATGATGATGATGTTGAGTCGGGCAGGTCTGGGCACGCTCAGGCCTCCTGGTACCTTGTGCCACCTCGCTGGGGCGGCATGAGTGTGATCACACCTGAATGGTGTGTGTGTCTGTGTGTGTGTGTGTGTGTGTGTCTATTTTTAAAATGAACAGAAGTTTGTTTGACCAATTAAGCAAATATTTTTCCTGTTGTTTTATTTCAGTTTACAACTTTAATAACTTCAATGCTCATTCTAAGCTTTATAAACAGAAGACATAAATAAAAATCTTTGCATTCTTTGCAGAGTGACCTGCCCCTCACCAGACTGCCCGTCCTTTAAGATGTCCCAGTCCACTGTTGCAGAAGAAGGAGGCACTTTAGAGCATCTGTGGAGCTCCCTGTGAGTGGCAGCAAACACCTGCAGAACTCATTCATTTTTGTGCTTTGATTTAAAYATGCATAAAACACACTTCATGCAGCAACTACAATGTTTTCTGTTAAAATGTAAAATATTTTTAATGATGAAAATCAGCCTTCATTGGCCTTTCATGCCAGGTTTTTAGTCTAAGAACATCTTGTGTTGAGAAATTATCAAATTAGTTGAAAAAAAATATCAGGCACAACAATATCATAAGATGCCATGGAAATGGAGGATGTTGTGAATGACTTTTAGCCACTATCAAATGTGATATTTTTTTGTTTGCTAATGTCACTTAGGCAACCGTCCTGAATTAGTTGGACGCCGTGTACGTCTAATAATTTTGTGCAAGTTCTTTAAATTCTATCYTGAGATATTTTGGCATAAAAAAACAAACATTGTCTGCTTTTGTTTTTCTGCAGCAGGGGGCAAAAATGATGTGCATAAACTTTAAAAGACTTTTTACTTTTTCATCCACACCTTCTTTCTAGAAGCATCTGATTTAATTTGCATTAAGTAAAAAAAGATTATTTTAAATCTTATTTTGGTGAGGTGTGTGTGTTTTTCCCCCTTTTATTATTACAATTCCTGTTACATGTTACAATTACAATTACTACTTCACACATAAATCTAATTAGCCTAAAAGTTAAACTCCTTTAATATTCTGATTTCTTTGCATTGTATTGTAATGTATTGTATTGTATTGTATTGTATTGTATTGTATTGTATTGTATTGTATTGTATTGTATTGTTTTTTGTTGTTGTTGTTGTTTTTGTGCAACAAAAGTCTTATTCTGGTACAGTCGCACACTGTTTTCTGACAGTTTTTCCATCTGGATAATTTTGTATCCTTAATATGATCACAGGGAGCCAGACAGCACCTATTTCGAGCTCCCTCCAAACAGCCAGCGCGGTGATCATTCAGTGCCCTCGACGAGCACCCCGGGGAACCACCGCAACTGTGCCGAGGTCTACATGGACGTCTTTCACATGAGAGACATGAACGACAACGTGATGGTAGGAACACGAGTTTGTCTTTCTTTAGTAAAAAGGAAAATGTGTTTGCTTTTGGGAAGCAGAAATGTATTTGGGGTATAGTAGTTCTCAGTTTCCAATCGTTTTAAATTCACAGTGAACACACAGATATAAACTGACACATCCAATCATATTTTTTATTCTTTGGCTTTTTCCCTCCAGTACTGAAACGATTCCCTCCTGTAGTTTCCCTCTTCTCTGCAGTTTTTTCCCTCTCTGATTTTTTTTTTTTTTTTTTTTGCTGAGAGACCTGTTGGGACTGTGTGTGTGT